AATAATGGTAGCTTTAAATCAAGGAAATATAAGTTATACTACCTTCTTACTACTATATTTAGTATAATTTTAAGTATTAGTATGATTATATTAAATAATAAATATTATTTCATAATATAGTTTGCCATTTTCCCCGGTGTACCTGTTCCATTGCTTACATGTGTCGATGATAGGCCGCTCCTGTCGCATCTTTGCAACGTTTCCTTCGACTCGGTGCCGTAGTTTCCTTGGAAGCAGAAAAACAACAAAAAAAAAACTTGCTGATAGTGCAGTTTCCCCCAGGAACCTCCATCTCGTAAGGAAAGTGTGTTGAGTGTTGGGCTTTAAAGACCTCGCTTGGTCGTAGCCAAATTACCTTATCAACTACAGCCAGAACAGGCCTTTTAGAAGGGGAAAATTACCAGAACTACCAGATGGTGTGCTCCAGTTTTGATTGGACCAATATGTCCCTCATCAATGGCCAGGAAGTTATGTGGAGTCTGTGTGTTGTATAAGATGGTTTGCTAATTGATCCTAGGATGCTTTAAAAGTATAACTTAGTTTGAGCTTCTTAGCAGCTACTAAGCTTTAAATGTAATTAGTTTTCACCCACACAAAACATAAGCAAGTTTCCATAAGATTTGTATTTTATTCCCCTCCAGGTGTTTGGCAATATTCAATCCGAAAACGCTCTTAGCTAGTTGTTGTGGCCACTGCTCCCTTTGCTAGTTTTCACCTGACAAATGCAGCAGCCACTCGTAAATAACCCAATTCACAGACATTGGAACACAGACAAAAGTCAAATTTATGGCACCACAGCATTAACTACACCCCGGGGACGCAGCAGCGCTTAATTACGAGCCATGCTGGCCAACTCTTACAACATGGCCCGGCCAAATGAGCGTGCCAAATTGGCCTGCAGCAAAAGTAAATCAATTTCAAGTTGTAAGCACACGCACAACCCCAAAACGCTGGACACGGAAGGTAAGGTATCCTTGAGCTTGGGTCTCTTAAACTATTTGTAGTCCTGCTTCACGTACATTTCGAGGTTGAACATTTTCTATCCATTAAGGTTTACCGAGGCGGATATATTTAATACCTGTGTAGGTAATATGTGAACAAAATCAAAGCTCTTATTATATAGTACAGGAGAGCAGGGTAGAAAACGTATATGTAAATATAGCATAGGGTTTTTTAAGAATTTAAAAAACTAAATTCTTTATTTTAATGTATAAATATAACAAATATTTCTTGGACTTTTAAAAAATCATTCTTCTTAGATACAAATCCCATATAAAATATCTTAGAATCCATTGCAAACGTTAAATTATTACAAAAGCTTACATCACCTAAAACAGAAGTAAAAATATATTAAAATCATGACTGAATCTGTAATTCCCTTGGCTATATGCCATCACACATAACTGCCAATTACACAAATGTGTGTCATTTGTAATCCTACACCCCAAATACTGTGGGTAAATATCGAAGACCATGGGCAAATATCAATAACAAGTGTTCAATGTCTGCCCAAGATGAATTATTATAAATGGATTAAGGACGAATTCTGTGTAATAATTAACTGCTATTTGTCTTGCAAACACTGGACTGGCCATGGCCATCGCCAGGCCAAGTGTTCAATGGGAAATGGGATCCGCCTGTGTGCATAATGTGGTTTCCCAGCGTTCAGATGCAAGGATTGGCAGACAGGACACAACGCCTGATTTGCAGGGTCATCTGTATGTGCGGCAAATGGAAAATTTTGCAAATTTCCTAATTACTTACGTCTGGTTGGTTGGGGGGGTGGAGTGCGTTCAGTGGTCAATTGTCCTGGTCCCAGGAACTGCACCGCAAAATTTACTGTCTGATTTGCCCGGGCACACAGTTCGGAATTGATGTCTTTGACACACCATCGAGGGTGAAGTGGAGTGGTCCACTGAAGCAAACAGATTAGTGATAATTTATATTTGAGCTGACCAAATAGTCAGCAATTGCCCAGGAGTCTGGAGTTCAAAAGGAGGGTCCAGATCGTTGATGGAGAGGGTACAGGCAGGGAGCTGTTTTAGTTTTATAGGATATATTCCCTGGAAAAGAAAGTTTAGATTTTGTATTAACAAATTTATTAAATATTAAAATTACGCTATCCTTTTCTCGGGCCTACTGATCCATATTTCTAGATTTTTTTGTAGGAAGAATTACCGAGCGGCGTTCTTTAAAGATGCTGAGGATGCAATGTAAACATAAACATATTTTACATACATACATTTTACGTACATACATATATGAGCTTTAAGTTACTGGATCCTCAGTCAACTGAATAAACATAAACAATTTTTTCTATGAGTTAGCAGAAATTTCTTTATATCAATTCGGTATTTAAATACCCTCTCATTTCTTGTTTACAAGCATTATAATATTTATATATAAAATGTTGTATAATTTACTTATCATGGACTATTTTTATTAATTAATTAAATATCAAAGTTTAAGTTTTGCTATTTCGTTTCATAAAAATACAATACCACAAAAAGTCTTTTTAAACATATATACATGGTAATTCATTGTAATAAAGCTTTAATAACGAAATAAAGTTAAATAAAATATTTACAAAATATAATTTATATCTGCTTGTAATAAATAATTAATTAATTTATTAATAATTAAGAATTATATACTACACTACAATAGTTCTAGCAAAACACTTTAAAATTAGCTTAGAGGCATCTCCCCTTTAGTTTTATGGATTTAAAACAAAAATATTTTTGTTTTCACTATACCTAAAGCGTGAAATGATCCAGTTCCACCAGGGACCCCTGAAATGGAATGGAACTGATACGATTAAACTGTTTACGAAGTTCAGATCTTTTCGAAGTGTCGTTAAGCTTGGTTGTGCGAGAAAAAGCTCTGTAAAACTAGGTATGTATTTAGATATGTGTATAGTATATTAGTAAATAAGTATGTAGTATATAGATTCACGGTTTCTAATATCTGGATGTTTTTATAAGTGCTCGCTAACAGAGTTCTTTACCGAAAAACAGACGAGGAACTCATAGTTTCATTAAATAAATACAGACGTATAAAATACAATGTATATTATACATACATATGTACATACATTCTTAGATACCCTGCAGTACCATTCATCAACGTTTCATCAATAGCCGAAGCGTTTTGTTGATGAAAAGGCCGATGTGGTACTGCAGGGTAAATCTTGGAGCTTGAAACGTACATACATATGTAAGTATATATTTATATACATATATACGTACGAGCGATTTAGTTTCATCATTTCGTACGAAGTGATGATGAGACATGCAAAACTAAATTATATAAATTCTTAATTTTTGGAGTGTTTAATAAATTGATTTAAAAAATAAACTCCTGCTAAACTTATGCTATGACACAAGAGAGGTTTAGACAATATAAAAACATTATGAAAAAACAGTTACAATATGTTTGTATTAATTTCAGCAGATCAATCGTATTATCCAAAAGAAAACCAATATGGATGTTTGGTAAGTATAGAATAAACTAATTGAAACACCTCCTCAATAAACAATTATACATTTATTGGCAGGCTACAACCCGTCTTTGCCAATTTGATCGAGAACAAGAAGTTCTCCGACTGCCGCATTCTGGTGGAGAACGAAGCCTTTGATTGCCACAAAGTGATCCTGGCCAGCTGCTCCGAGTTTTTCGAGCGCCTGTTCCTGGGCTCCTTCCAGGAGGCCAAGTCCGATGAAATTCGTCTGCAGGAGATTAAGGCTAAAACCTTTGCCATGTTCATTCAATACGTGTACACCTACAGCAAGGAGAAGCTCAACGAGTGCAGCAACTCCATGATAATGGACCTCCTTACCTGCGGAACCAGGTGGCTGGTGGATTCTATCGTTTCTGAATGCGTGAAGATCCTCAAGGGACGGGTTAATGATATGATGCTCGACGATCTCCTTGATCTTTTCCAGAACGCGCACAGCATCAACCACCAAGAGCTGATAGAAATTTCGGTGAAGGTGAGATAACGAAAGATCTACGAGGTATGAATATTAAATCCAACTCTTCGTGTATTCTTATAGTTTCTGCGAAGCCGCTTTTCTACGGCTATGAATTGCTACGATGTCCTGACCATGACCTCGGATGTCTTTGAGCAGTACACCATCATTACTGGTGGCTACTTGCCCGAGATCGAGCGGTTCAAGATGATCGAGGCCTATGTCACTGTTAATGGTCTGATTGATTCCGATCCAGCCAAGACCTCGGAGGTTGAAGTGCACCGTAAGAAAGAGGGCGATAGTGGCATTGGTGAGTTGGTGGCCGCAAAAACATCATCCGATGACGACGAGCAAGAGTCTTCTGAGAATGAGGAATCAGAGGACAAGGAAGAGGATGAGGCTAAGGAACGTGGCACGGTTGAAAGAAATAATACAAAAATAAAAGTGCTGCACTCGAAATATGTAGAAATGCTGCTGAGCCACATAAAGTTCAATAAGATGATGAAGAGCGAATTTTACCACATCGTTGGCAAGTCTCCATTGTTGACCTTTAAAGAGAAATACGAAAATATGTACCTAACTCAACCAGATAAACTGGAATAATATCATAAAGATTTATAAATCTTTATTAAATTAATCTAAAAAACGATTATTCGTTGCGTTATAAAAATGAATTCATTGAAGTAAAAATGTAAATGTAAAATGCATTAATTTATGTTGAACATAACAATTGTGTTATAAAAATAAAGTAAAATATATACAAAATGCTAAATAAAAACTTCAAGCTAATTATTTTACCACAAATTTCTTTTCGGGCTGTTTTTTTTAATAAATAATTACAATTATATGTACTATACCAAAGTAGTTTAACCCCATTTAGTTACGGACTTGAATACTTTATCGTTTTTTGCCGTGTGTTCCTAAACTAATGATAAATTTCCTAACGTGTGAAACAATCCAGTTCCAGCAGGAATCATAGAATGGAATGGAATTGAAATGGAAAAATTCTTTTCGTAGCTCCGGTCTTTTTGAAGTGAATGTGGTTGGGGTTGGTTGTGCCGACAGAAGCGAGGTATGTACGTGTGTGTTAATGTAGTATATAAGCAAATAAGCATAAGTTGGATGTTTTAGTTGGTACTCGATTTTTTTTTAACTAATAAAACATTAACAGCTTATGAAATATGTTGGACAAAAAGAAAACTTACCAAAAAAGAGACGGAGACGTTACATACCGACGATTTAGTTTCATCATTTCGTACGATTAAGGGGGTTCCCGGAAATGAGACTTGCACAAACGAATAATTTAAATGCTTAATTTTATTTTCGATTTATAAATGCTTTTTATAAGACAAATTTTGGACAATATAAACTTAACACAATAGAAAAATAATATTTATATACACAAATGTATGTATGTTTATAGTACTTTCAGGAAATCAATCGTGCTATCCAAAAGAAAACCAATATGGATGCTTGGTAAGTATGTAATAAACTAACTAAAACACCTCCTCAATAAATGTAAAACTAATTCGCAGGCTAAAACCAGTCTTTGCCGATTTGATAGAGAACAAGAAGTTTTCCGACTGCCGCATTCTCGTGGAGAACGAAGCCTTTGATTGCCACAAAGTGATCCTGGCCAGCTGCTCCGAGTTTTTCGAGCGCCTGTTCCTGGGCTCCTTCCGGGAGGCCAAGTCCGATGAAATTCGTTTGCAGGAGGTTAAACCGAAAACCTTTGCAATGTTCATTCAATATGTGTACACCTACAGCAAGGAGAAGCTTAATGAGTGCAACAACTCCATGATAATGGACCTCCTGAGCTGCGGAACCAGGTGGCTGGTGGATTCTATCGTTTCTGAATGCGTGAAGATCCTCAAGGGACGGGTTAATGATATGATGCTCGATGATCTCATCGATCTTTTCCAGAACGCGCACAACATCAACCACCAAGAGCTGATAGAAATTTCAGTTAAGGTGAGCTAAAGACTAATGAAGTGTGACTTTTTAATTAACGCTCGTGCATTTTTATAGTTTCTGCGAAGCCGCTTTTCTACGGATATGAATTGCTATGATGTCCTGACCCTGACCTCGGATGTCTTTGAGCAGTACACCATCATTACTGGTGGCTACTTGCCCGAGATCGAGCGGTTCAAGATGATCGAGGCCTATGTCACTGTTAATGGTCTAATCGATTCCGACCCAGCCGAGGCCTCGGAGGTTGAAATATACCATAAGAAAGAGGGCGACAGTGGCATTGGTGAGTTGGTGGCCGCAAAAACATTCGCCGATGACGATCAAGAGTATTCCGATGCGTCTTTCGTTGAGGAATACGAGGACAAGGAAGAGGATGAGGCTAAGGAACGTGGCACGGTTGAAAAGAATAAGATGAAGAATACAAAAATAAAAGTGCTGCACTCGAAATATGTAGAAATGCTGCTGAGCCACATAAAATTCAATAAGATGAGCAAGACCGAATTTTACCACATCGTTGGCAAATCTTCATTGTTGACCTTGAAGGAGAAATACGAAAATATGTACCTAACTCAACCAGATAAACTGGAATAATATCATAAAGATTTATAAATCTTTATTAAATTAATCTAAAAAACGATTATTCGTTGCGTTATAAAAATGAATTCATTGAAGTAAAAATGTAAATGTAAAATGCAGTAATTTATGTTGAACATAACAATTGTGTTATAAAAATAAAGTAAAATATATACGAAATGCTAAATAAAAACTTCAAGCTAATTATTTTCCCACAAATTTCTTTTCGGGCTGCTTTTATTTAATAATTAATTACAATTATATGTACAATACCAAAGTAGTTTAACCCCATTTAGTTACGGACTTGAATACTTTATCGTTTTTTGCCGTGTGTTCCTAAACTAATGATAAATTTCCTAACGTGTGAAACAATCCAGTTCCAGCAGGAATCATAGAATGGAATGGAATTGAAATGGAAAAATTCTTTTCGTAGCTCCGGTCTTTTTGAAGTGAATTTGGTTGGGGTTGGTTGTGCCGACAGAAGCGAGGTATGTACGTGTGTGTTAATGTAGTATATAAGCAAATAAGCATAAGTTGGATGTTTTAGTTGGTACTCGATTTTTTTTTAACTAATAAAACATTAACAGCTTATGAAATATGTTGGACAAAAAGAAAACTTACCAAAAAAGAGACGGAGACGTTACATACCGACGATTTAGTTCATCATTTCGTACGATTAAGGGGGTTCCCGGAAATGAGACTTGCACAAACGAATAATTTAAATGCTTAATTGTATTTTATTTTCGATTTATAAATGCTTTATAAGACAAATTTTGGACAATATAAACTTAACACAATAGAAAAATAATATTTATATACCTGTGTATGTATTTTTATGGTACTTTCAGAAAATCAATCGTGCTATCCAAAAGAAAACCAATATGGATGCTTGGTAAGTATGTAAAAAACTAATTAAAACACATTCTGAATAAATTTAACACACATTCGCAGGCTACAACCCGTCTATGCCAATTTGATAGAGAACAAGAAGTTCTCCGACTGCCGCATTCTCGTGGAGAACGAAGCCTTTGATTGCCACAAAGTGATCCTGGCCAGCTGCTCCGAGTTTTTCGAGCGCCTTTTTCTAGGCTCCTTCCGGGATTCCAAGTCCGATGAAATCCGTTTGCAGGAGGTTAAACCGAAAACCTTTGCCATGTTCATTCAATATGTGTACACCTACAGCAAGGAGAAGCTCAACGAGTGCAGCAACTCCATGATAATGGACCTCCTCAGCTGCGGAACCAGGTGGTTGGTGAATTCTATCGTTTCGGATTGCGTAAAGACCCTCGAGGGACGGGCTAACGGTATGCTGCTCGGCGATCTGGTCGATCTTTTCCAGAAAGCGCACAGCATCAAAAACCAAGAGCTGATAGAAATCTCTGTGAAGGTGAGCTAAAGACTAATTAAGTAAGATTTTATAATCTTATCGGTCTTATAGTTTTTGCAAAGCCGCTTTTCTCCGGCTATGAATTGCTACAATGTCCTGACCATGACCTCGGATGTCTTTGAGCAGTACACCATCATTACCGGGGGATATTTGCCCGAGAGCGAACGGTTCAAGATGATCGAGGCCTACGTTACTGTTAATGGTCTGATTGATTCCGATCCAGCCAAGACCTCGGAGGTTGAAGTGCACCGTAAGAAAGAGGGCGATAGTGGCATTGGTGAGTTGGTGGCCGCAAAAACATCATCCGATGACGACGAGCAAGAGTCTTCCGAAAATGAGGAATTAGAGGACAAGGAAGAGGATGAGGCTAAGGAACGTGGCACGGTTGAAAAGAATAAGATGAAGAATACAAAAATAAAAGTGCTGCACTCGAAATATGTAAAAATGCTGCTGAGCCACATAAAGTTCAATAGGATGAGTAAGACCGAATTTTACCACATCGTTGGCAAATCTTCATTGTTGACCTTGAAGGAAAAATACGAAAATATTTACTTAACTCAACCAGATAGTACACCTACTTCTACTCTTTCTCGGAATACATTTGGTAGGGCCTATGAATGTCAACCTTGAATTTAATAATAATAAAGTTTTCTGGGTATAAACATAGAGATGTTACTCTCAGGGGTGGTGGGTGGAGCACAGATTTATGATGCCAGGGAGCGCAAATTTCGGCCACATGAAGCGAATTTCCACTTATCAACAGAGACAGCAAGGACGAGCAGCAAGAGCAACAACATTTTGCTCATTATAAATGTCATCAGGCATTATTTTGTCCATCAACTCGTCGCAGTTGTCGGAGCGCATTGTTTATGGCTTTCTGCCACATGGGGAGGCGGAGTTGGAGCAGAAGCTGGCGCTGGCGCTTTCACTGGCTTTACGAGCCAGAGCCATTTATAATGGAAAGAAAAATTAAACAGGAAATTGAAACCGGACTGGCGTGTTAATGAGAATGCGATGCCGTGCCGTGCCGCTCGTCTCGTTAACGGCCAGTTCTTAATTTTCGCCTGGGGACGTTCATTGTCCTTTAACGGTCGACTTCCAGTGGATTGTCGCGTCCTTTTACACGGAGGTGTCCCTGAAATTGGGTAATTACATTTAATGGCGAATGTAACCATAAACAAAGTTATGATGATGTCCTCTAGTTCCAAACTTTGCGCTAAATTTAGCTAACAAAAAAACTTTGTTGTGCTAGTTACAAATAAAAAAATATAATTTAAATATGTTTATAATTTCTTAGAGCTTCTGTTAAATATTTATTTACAGAGTTTAGTAAGTTTTAAAGGGATTAAGCTTCAATAAAAGTCATCTTTCTTACCATAAAAACGCCTCTCTTGGCTTGGCCCTATCCTGGCTGAATTTATATACATTTTACCCCCCGAGACAATATTCGCTGATTTGCGTGAGATTGTTGGGAGGACACAGCTTTATCCTGCCGCCTCCTGCCTGTATACAACAATTAGTGACTCTATTAAGTCGTCGCAGAATCAACAAAATTGAACAAAGCCCAGCGGAGTGCTCCGCTGCGGGGTCCTAAGCCAAAGTGAAAGCAATCAAAACAGAAACTTGTAAACAAAAAAAAAAAAAATTAAATAGAAAAAAAAAGCTGATATTAAGCTGGAATGGGTCTGTCTCGCCACCCCGAAAATCATTGGGATGTGTGTGTGTTTGTGTGTGTGGGACCGCTTAGTTTCATTAAAATTTAAGCAAAACTCAATGGACTGCAAATGCACGAAATTGGATTGGCGAGGATGTTCTGCTCCTCTGGGATCTGCTGGGAGTTCTCTCTTCTGGAAACAAATACCAGCGCGAGAAGGACAATGAGAGTTGACTCTGAACTTTGGCGAACTTTTCTATTCTTGCACAATTTTGATTTACGACCACTTAACGTTTTTTATGTCTCACAGACTTGGCGTTTGTATAAGCATTCGGGTGTATACATCAGATATTTCATATAACAAAGCTAGTAGAGTAGACATTCCATAGGAGCAGCAGCACTTACTTACTAAACACATAAATAAGAGCCAAAGTATACATTGCCATTGATTGATTAGGCATAAAAACTAAGTGGCTGGGCGGGAGGCAGGGGATATTTGGGATATTTTCTGATACTACTTCAAACCTAACTAAGGGGTTAAGGTATTTAAATATTTTTTCGTAATTTTTATTTTTTAAATATCAATTTTCAATATCTTAAGAATATTTTGTGAAAGTTTCACATCGATCATATTAAAAATGACCAAGTTATTCGTAGTTGCGAGCAAAAATAAAGCCAACAAAATATATCCAGAACTCCCTTAAGCTGAAATAAAATAAAACAACGTAGATTACAATTTCTTTTTTTGTTTTATTCGATTTATTTTTATGGTAATGCGTATCCCTCTATACGATTCTGCTGTTTTTTTTGTATTTTTATTTATTTTCTGTGTCTGTGTGTGGAGTATATGTAGCTATGCATACACGAATAATGTTTAGTTTTTTGTTTTTTTGATTTTTCCTTGGGTTTTCTTTGGCTCTTAACTAACCTAACACAGAAATTAAGAGAGATCCGCATATGCAGACCCCAATGAATAATCTCTTTTTAATTGCCTTTAACTGCAGTGCTGTGTTGATTTTTGATCCTGGGCTTAACACTAACTAGCTGTGTGTGGAATCTCTGTTGCAATTAATTCATTTTGATGATTTATATTGGTGATGTGATGTTTTCGTGATTAAATATATTGCGCTTAATTGTTATAATTAGCGTGAATCATTGATGCGTGTGCCCTACTTGTATAATACAGTCACAGAGAAAGCCAAGAAAGATTTTTTTTTTTGTTTTTGGTTTGCGGTTCGGAGGTCAGAGTTCGGCCGGTGGCTGCGTTGCGCATACGCCCCGTGGCACAGCAACATCAATAAGTATATGCGCACTGTGCATAATTTATGCAGAGCCACAACACCAATAAGAAGAGCTGCAAAACAAATATGGGCTAAATACTAGTATATTTATTATTATTTATTCATACGCCTATCAATGCATCCTACGGAAGTAAATTACGAGTACACACTAATTATTCACGAGGGTTGCCGCAACAGTTGCTTAAATGTTGGGTGGAGGAAGAGCAAATGTTAATTGTTTTTTTTTTTTGTTGAAAACTTTTCAAACTCAAAGCTTGTTGAACTACGTCTTTTCTGGAAGAAGTTCAAATATATATACATGGTTGTTTTTAGAGTTAAATAAAAGGAAGAAACAATTTAATTTTATGACTTGAAAATTATTATAAAATAGTTAAATTAAATGAATATATAAAACTAAATTTTATGATTTGATGATCTTGTTTTTAGTTTAAGTTTTCGTTTTGCAAATTATAATTTAAACTAAAAAATCATCAAATAAAAGTTAATCTCTTGTTTAACTCAAATTATTAGCAAAAAATTAAACAGAAATATTTTTAAATTTATTATAATAATAATATTTAAAGTTACACTATTGCCACTTATCAGAGTTGGAAAAGTTTCTATCATTAATCGCTCTCCTCCCTTCCCAAAAAAAAAGATACCCTTCAAACTGAACCGCCAACCAAAAGGCTTAACTCTGGTTTCATAATCCAAACTGGATATATTTTTACTGGAGCAGCTCGCTGACCGTAAAACTGGTTGCCGTGGCCGCAATCACTGCCGGATCTGTGTGATTGGAGTTGGAGTTCTCCCCCGACCCAGTGGGATGCCAGAAATGAATCCCAGCCAGCGTGGCCGTGGTTCGATTTGCCCGCTCTGTGGTCGGGTTTGGCTCCTCTCGTCGTTGTCTCACCGCCTGCGCCTGCGGTCACGAGGACATGTAGGTGCACTGCGTCTTGGGCTGCGGCTCCGTCTGCTCGATGGGCTGGATGGCCGCTCGCTTCCAGTAGTCGCGCACCGTCTCCACTGTCTCCATGATACGCAGAAAGTTCCGGCCCGCCAGCATGGCCACATCCTCCTCGCTCCAGTTGTGATCCTCCAGCAGGGCGGCCAGCAGCTCCGGGTATTTGGAAACATCCTCCAAGCCCAGTGGAGGCAGCTCAATGCCATCGTAGCCCGCTCCCAGGCCAATGTGCTGGATGCCGGCAATGGCGCGCACATACTTGATGTGCTCGATCACATCCTGGAGCCGCGCCTGCCGCCCGCACGCCACGTCCTCGGAGTCAAAGCTCAGCATGATCAGGCCACCGTTCTCGGCCACCAGGCGGAGTATATCGTCCGGCACGTTCCTCGTCGAATTGCACAGCTGGCGGGCGGCGGAGTGCGAGAAGATGACCGGCGCCCGTGTCACTTGCAAAACATCCCGAGCAGTGGCATCCGAGCTGTGCGACAGATCAATCATCATGCCCAGCCGGTTCATCTCGCGGACAATGGCCTTGCCGAAGGGCGTGAGACCCTGTTCCGCCGGCGAGGCACTCGAGCCCGCCCACGAGACATCGCAGCGATGGGTGAGGCTGAGGTAACGCGCTCCCAGGGAGTAAAAGGATCTCAAAACCCCCAAGGAGGAGCCAATGGTGTGGCCCCCCTCAACGCCGATCAGCGAGGCCAGAAGCCCGCGGCGGTGTGCCTCAACGATGTCCTGCGACGACGTGGCCAGCACTGTTTCCCGGGCATACATGTCGGACAGGCGCCGCACAATGTCGATCTGCTCGAGCGCCAGCTGGACGGCGTCCAAGCCTTGAGCCTCACACGGCACATATGCTGACCTGGAAAGGAGACCATAAAAGGCGAAAAGTTAGCAAAGTTTGGTTGGACGGCAAGGCAAAAATATGGTGAGTAAGTACAGGAAAAAAATATATTTTTTTGGATACTTGTTAAACATAAATCTAAGCTTGGACTCGTCTTTGACAAATTAATGCTGTTCCTGGAGGATTAATTTAGCTCCTGTCTGCTTCAAAAACTTTTACATTTCCAATGAGCAAGCATTTTTTACCCCAATAGACCCTCTCTTGGCCCTCACTAACGACCAACGAGTGCTGTTTAATTGGGAAATGCAAATTGAAAGTGCCAAAGTGGTTAGTTAGCAAGGATGAACTTTGGGTTTTAGTTGCCAGTTGCAATGATATGGCCATAAGCGGGTCAGAGGAAACTGCCGGGCAAGTTCAACGATGCCAAACGTTGAATTGAAAGTCGAAATTGGCGAAAAGTTACGCTTGCGCCATCTGGCAGTCACAGGCAGTGGGCGGTGGACAGTGGGCGGTGGACAGTGGGTGACTGGTGTTGGGCGTTGGGACTCCCCACGAAATGAAGTCAAGTCGATTGCCCATCAGCGTTTTTCCTCCAAAACTGCAGCTGTCTGCCGCCTGTCAGATTTTGCTTCGGGACCAGGCTCGAAAAAAAAAAAAATACTGGGAAAGGGGGTACTTGGAGAAGCAGCTGAGTGTGAAAGGATTACACGGCCAGGATACAACAAATATTTAGATTTTGCATCACAAAATAGAAAATGTATATTGTAAATGTATATGAATTTTAAAATATTTTTTAAAAATATTTTGAATGCTTATTTAAAACCTAATTTATTTACAGCTACCTTATTGGTCTTTTCAGATTTTAGATACAACTTTTTGAAATATTTTTGTTCAGTGTAAGTAAAGCCAAGAGGGGGAAATGGGTGGGAGTAGCAGGAGACAGGTTGGCTGCTTGCCCTGAAGGCCTCCAGTTGGTTGCCAAATTTTATTTAGCAGTCAAATTGTTGGCAGCTTTTTATTGCCTCGCGCGGAGGGGTTGGGCGTAGGCAAGTTCAGGAGAGGGGGGCGGCTGGCCCCGGAGGGCGTGGCATCTGGTTGCATGTTGCCATGTTTTCGGCTAGCACTCGAGTGCATGCCACCCGTAGATGGGGTCAGATCTCTGACCGGGTCGCCTCCGCATCGGCCTGATTGCAGTTTTATGTGACTTTTCAATTTTCATGACTTGGCCGCCTGCGGGCGAGTCTCCATTGCGTAAATGTTGTAATTCCACTTGAGTATAACAATGGACTCAATTGGATTTAAATCATGGCCAATGGCCAAAATGATCGCAACGTAATTGGTTTACTTAGGGATTATAAGTCACAAACTATTTTTAAAATGAAGTAAGACAATAACTTGTTGTTTAGGAAATTCAGTGAAATCAATTTTATGGTGTTGAATAAGGAATTAAACCTTTCAATAAATAATCATTAGGCCTAAAATGACTATTACATACCACTTAAATAGTGAATGTTTCTGATATAATAATAATAAAATAAAATAAATAATCAATAAACAAATTAATTTTATAATAATATATATGATTATATAATTATATATTGATAAAGATCAACTATTTTCATTCTAAATTTAATTCACGTCTCTCTATAGAATATATTTACTAGATATATATTAATATTGGAAAACCTGTTTGAAAAACCTCCATTAAAATATACAAATTACAATTTATTATGATTTTCGTAGTGTTAATATATTTTTGATTAGCATTTCAGAAAGAACTGAAGGTTATCAGCAATACAATTTATGTAACGGTTCACGTGTTTCCGCGTGATAAGAAAAAAATCCCCTGTTAACCCATGACCATAGTTAATATTATTTTAATATTGCGCATATTTCTAATATGTTTATTAATGTCATATTAAATAATATCTTTGTTGTTTATAAATTAAGTTAACAATCGAATTATGTATTGATTTATTTAAAGACATGTAATAAAAATATTCAACAATACAATCAGTTTTGATCAACTTAATCGTTAAAAGCTAAAATAAAATAAAATACACATATAATTATTTTCAGATTTATTCAATAATCAAAGAATATTGAGGGTTAATAGAAAAAAAAAAAATAATAATATTCAGTGTATGCGAATGTAAGATACCCAGTACTCAAAGCTTTATGAGTTCTAGTATACGACATACTCGTTTTCTACTACAAAAAATGGATTTTATTTCATAAATGTTGTAGAAAAGAAAATAAACATTTAAGTTTTGTTTATCTGAAATATTTATACTCTATGGTAATTCTCGGTCATCACAAACCTATAGAACCCTTGTTCCTTAGGGTAGCAAGAGTCAACCCTCGTTATCACTCAAAACAATAAAGACAATGTATGAATATTCGAATTCAGTTCACTTTTCTCCGTGGTGCAGTTACATTATGAAAACGGGTGTTTTCGTGTTTTTTCTGTTGGGTTTTGCCTTTGCGGATCTTGACAATGCTTTACGGCAGGACTCTGGAGGATCTAGAGACCAGTGCGTGGGATATTGCTTATCCGTATTCAAACCGTTTATAGATAACTGCGCGGAATTTAGAGAAGCAGCTAATGCCAAAAACGAACAGAATGAGAAAGTTATCAGTAATTTGCAGAGTCAGTTAGCTATTGCTGAGGGTCAAATTGAGAACAAAAATGAGGTAATCACCCAAAAAGATGAACAAATGAAGGACAAAAACGAACAAATCAAGGACAAAAATGAGCAAATAAAAAATATGGAGGATGAAATAAATTCCCTAAGGAATCAAACTAAAACGATTTCCGAGGAGTTATCTACTACAAAAAAACGGCTCTCAGATTTAACCCAAGCCGAGTGGTGTCCAGTCGTCGATAGAGAAGGCATTTACACAATAAATCTTCGAGGAGTGAATGTCTTTGAAGCTCCTTGCACTAAGGATGGCTGGATGATCATCCAAAAGCGGATTAACGGAGACGTGGACTTTAATCGGACCTGGGAAGATTACAAGAATGGATTTGGGGACATACATGGAGAGTTTTTTATTGGCCTGGAAAAGCTGCACCTCATAACCCAAGCTAAAACCTATGAACTGCATATTCAGCTGGGAGATATAAATGGAACTACTAGCTACGCTCACTACGATGATTTCGAAATTGGCAGCGAAAAGGAAGCCTATTTTTTAAAATCGATTGGAAAATATTCAGGAACAGCCGGAGATTCGCTAGATTATCACAAGGGAATGAAGTTCACTACTTTTGATAGGGATAATGATATTGATTCGGAAAATTGTGCACTAAACGATAAAGGTGGTTGGTGGTTTAAAAATTGTGCAATGAGGTAATTACTTTTAATAATTTAATGAAATACAATTTGAACAAATAATTGTAATTACAGTAAGCTAAACGGAAAGTATTTCAAAGATGGAAAATCGAACAAAAAAAATGGCATTACTTGGGGAACTTGGCATAATTACGACTATACGATCTCCCTCACCTTTGCTCAAATGATGATAAAACCGAAACGTCTACAAGGCGAATAATCTACTATCAACTAGACGGAATAAAATTGTGTTTTTTTTTAATTTTTTTAAATTTTATACCAGCACTAATTAGTTTTCAAAAAATATGTTTTTACTGTTAATAAAATTAAAATAAAATTTGTCAGTAATGTAAAATTTTTCTAAAAGCTTTTGTAATTTTCTTATCTTAACCTAATAAACAAATTTCATTTTCTTGAATAAGCATTATATAAATGAATGACATTTATTTATTTTACAGAACAAATGCTGATCTTTATTTTGAGGTATTGATAAAAATATAATTCATGATTTTTCTGTGAATCTTTACTCACCACACTTGCACGCTGACCAGTCCCTGCTTTAGCCGCTCCATGTCCGTCTGCGCCCACGCCGGCCGCGCCCACAGCGACTTGTGATCGAGATCGTGGCTGAGATGGAGCTCCAGGCTGCTGTGGGCATACTTGCGCACATTCCAGGCATAGTTGTTGTGCCCATCGACCAGCGGCACCTCGCGCAGTATCCGGCGAACGATTCTCAGTCTTTGGGCATGGGAGTTGCGGCTGGGCGCCATGAGAAAGTGCTGGTACGCCAGCGTGGCAGCAATGGCCAGCAGGCAGATGGCACTGACCAGGGTGAGGGCCACCAGCCAAGAGCCACGCCTGCCTTTCTGCCCGCCATCAACACCGGCATTGGTTTTTCTTGAGGCCTTTCCCTTGACTTTTCCGACGGTGCCGCCGCCGGCCGTCGCCGAGTTAAGCGAGGTGGGCGACTTGGCGTCCAGTCCAACAATATCGCCACCCACGACCACGCCGCCGGATATGGCATTGCCGAAGTTGACCTTGGACTTTTGGATGCTGGCTATTTCACCGCCAGAGTCGCTATTGGAGATGGAGTTCTGGCGGGACAGAGTGCGGCGAATGTTGGAGTGCTCGGTGACGTCAGGCAATCCACCAAAGCCAGTGGTCTGCAAGGGGAGAAAGGATAACAAATTAAAGATCAGTATAACCTTTTTCGATTATGTTGTTTTCTAATGTTAAAAGACCCTAATATATATGTACTATATGTTTCTATATATATGCTTCTTCGGTTTCGAAACAAGGCTTAACTTCGAAGGGGTGGGTGGCAGCCGTGCGTCGAAAAGTTGCTTCATTAAAAGTGCGTCAAAGTTTCTTCGTTGATTTTGTGCCCTAATTAAAACTGCAGCAGAAGAAGCAAACTTTCGGCGCTCTGCTATATTCATAACTTGCATGAAACATCAACACGACTCATGGGGAAACTTTTTAATGAACCGAATAACCATATCAGAATCAATATAATGGCCCCAGACCTCCATTCCCTCTTCACCTCAGCACCTGCCCTTCATGGCGAGTGATGGAATCATGGCTGCCGTTGGGCTAATCTTGGCCTGACATAATTAAGCCTTAGTCATAATTCATGGACTTTGGGGACACATGTGTTCCAAGGGGTCCGAAAAAGCCATTTTCTACATTCCAAAAGGGGGGCGGTGAACAACGTACGAGAAGGGAAAGAAAGAAACTTTGTCGTGTGAAAGTTGTGACATAAAGTTTGTGCCAGGGGCAGGGCAATGATTTGTTTATATTGCGACTGCCAGAGGAATTATGCCAAACTGTGCAAAGTACAAATCAAATCTAAATGCGCACATTGCCCTTCCACATGCCTGGGAATAGTACCAAAGATGGAGACATTTCCGAGCATGAAATTAAATTGAAAACAAACTTTGAAACGTGGCCCTGTTGGATATAAAGATAACTATATTCCTCGGAGAGTTGTTAAATATACAAAATATATGCGCCACTTAGGAAGAGGTTATCTAAAGAAGTATATGCATTTTTTAATATTTAATATATTAAAGAATTATATATTATATATTTCCAGATAAATCTGTAAATGAAAAAGCTTACATAAAAAAATATTTGTAAATTAGAACAACTTCTAATTATATGTATTTTGATTTAATTAATTAAAAATTAAATATTAGGTGAACTTGTTAACATTTTTAAAAAAATCAAAAAGGTTATTTGTAATTTACAAATGTTTACCTATAAAGTTTATATATTTAATTACGTAGCCTTCAATTTAGACCCTTCTTTAATGCATTTTAACTTAAGTTTACAAGCTAATAAAAAATGCAGGCCTTTGGCAAAACAAAAAAGTATTTTTCATAGGTTCATTTTGTAATTTAAATAATTTATATTCAGGCTTCAACACCAATAAAGTTGGCTTGAAAAGTAAATTCAATATATTTTATTATTTAGTTTCCTTTTCCCTTTCCACCCCACTAACTACGCTACACTTTGGTGAAATGTTTCTATTTCTACATGAAAGCTTTTTAAATTATATTCATTCATTCTTTTTGCTGCGAAATAAGTATGGTTTACAGTTGTGCATTTTTGTAAAAGACACTGTCCTTCGCAGAGTTTTTCACTTGACGCTTCCGGGCCATGGCTAATTAGGTGGAAAATCGACGCCACACGGCGTATGAGCCTGATGAAAAGCACAGCCCTGGCCACAGAATTAATTAAATAAAATTATATAAAACGAAGCACCACAAAGGGACGATGACCGCTACTTGCTACATTTTCAACTATTTTTAATTATGAATTTCAAACATCAGGCAGCAGCGAAATTAACTTTCATAAAAGCTGCAAACTTTTTGCTGGGCTCCGCGAAAGTAATAAAACGATAACAAGATGACTGAGGGGAGAACTTTTTGGCAGCGCAAGAAATATTCATCTCAATTTATTCAATTTTTAATAAAAATGCAAATATTTTACGTGCTTCCGCTATCGCCGGCACCCTTGCATCGCACAGTGCATAATTTTTTCCCTAGATTTCCTGCTAACAAAAAAAATATATATAAAGAGAGAGAGAAAGTTTTGGAGCCACCGTGGGCTGCTGCTTAAAAGGCGCTTCATTGTACAGTGCACTGCACTTTTCCGCTGGGCGCAAGGACGCGGGCTGGCTTTTCCGGGCACAGGACAGCCAGCTGGCTGGCTGTGACGCGAAAAGTTTGTGTTTGCCAGCAGCAGCGGCAGCAGCGGAGGAGGTCGTCATCGCAGGCATGACGTTGTGGGAGCTCTAAAGCTGTAATCCGGCCAGCAGATTTGGCCACATTTCCCACAGACTTTGCTCGCATTTTGGCAGGCGACAGAGCCCAGGAACCAAAAAGCATGACCACGGCCGCTGCCAGTCGCCCCACAGGTTTGCCTTTAGTTGTGCCAACTTTATAATTAGTTTAGTCCGGGTGATGCCCTCCATTGACACGTTACTGGGAACCGAAAGTAAACCTAGCACTTGTGGGGAAATTAGTTTGTTTTTAGAAAGGTCAACTAATAGCAATTTAAAAGGGGAATTGGAACTAAACAAGCTGGGAAGGGGAAGATTTAAGAGGAGATATAATAAGCTATAATATTTTATAATAAAGGCTTTCTAGAAAAAGATATAATAAACCCCGCTTTGCTGTTTATTTACACCCACATAAAGTTTCCACTTTAAAGTGAGTGCAATAGAAATGGATGATGATGGCGGACGGCGCACAAATTGGCTCCATGTTGTTTGCCTGTTGCCTGATCCCTCGACCCCGGGGCAGAAATTCGTCCAATTGAGTTTTTAAATAAAAATGAGCAGACGATGCGGCAACAAGAATGGTAACTACTCCTGGCTCCGCACCAGCAACAGCAGCAGCAGCAGCAGCTGTAGCATCAGCAACCTGCAGCATGTCAGCGGCAGCAACATCAGAGTCATTCAGTTCGCACAAAAGGCGAAAGGCAGGCGGCAACAGGACCAACGTCAACAAGGACAATAACAATGAAAATGGAAACGGCAAAAAATAGAAACGGGAGCACAAGAAAAAACTGTTACGGAATGCTTTATAGTTTCCGCCATTATTTTCCCTTTTGCAGCTGCAGTTTTTAGTAGAACCTCTATATATATTTTTTCTTCATTTCTTTCTTCTTTTTTTTCTAGATGCAGTGAGAATTTAGTGCGAGACTAAAAACAAAACTAAAAATCTGTGCCGCCGCATGTGCAACAGCCAAAAAAGGGTGGGTCTGTGGGTCCGTGGGCTCTTTGCTGAAAAGTATTTGTCATGCCATATCTCATACCCGCCACATGCATATATCATGTTATACGCGCGGCACTCAGGGGAAACAAAGCAAATCCATTCCATAAATATTCCCCAGCAGCTCCGTGGAGGATTTAAGGAGCGGACTGGAGGGCTTCCAGCTAGGTGCGAGTGCCAAAATGATTCCACTTCCGGCGAAAGCTTACAACAAAAAAGAAGGGTAAATTGGTTGCATAACCTAATCTCTTACCCTTGGCTAGTTTGCTTTTGTGTAAGTTTTTTTGATTTACTATCGGGCTTAATGGGTTAAGAAGAATATTTAGTGAAAGGTTTTTATAACATAAAAAATTCATTCGAAATTAGTTAAACTTTAAATAGTAACTAAGTTACTTATTATTTAACTAGTTCTAGACAAGAGGAATTCAGCATATATCAAAAAACACAAGCTTAATTTATTACGATGGCTCTTGGTTCCTTGTTTTTGTCAAGTCAAGTTGTTATGAGACTTCCGGCAGCTTTTACAAAACTCTAGCCTTACAACTTTTGCCTCGTTTGGGGATAATAGGGAACCTAATGTACAAAGAATTTGCGGTCAACTTTATCAATTCGCCTCCATTGTATGGGTAGTAGTCCTCGACCGGATGCCAGGGACCCCGGAGAGTGTGCGCAGCAGGATGGCCCGGAGTTGTCGAGTGCGGTCGTTGCCAGCTGCTGCTGCTGTTCCTGCTGATGCTGTTTTTAGTTTTTCAAATGTCATTTGGCCATTTCACGCTGATGGACATCAGTTTCATCCTCGTCCTGCCAGTTTCCCTCCTCTCTCTTTTTCCCTCTCTCTCTGGTGGTCCTGCCAGCCCACAAATTGCCTTGTGGCTGCTACGTAATTTCTGCCTTCCGCACGGAGGTTGCTCCGACAACAGCCACATTCAAATATTGCAATGGTGGAAGGACCCGTATCCAATCCAAAAATGCACAGGAAAATAATCTGAGATATATATTTTATATTTCAATGAGTACAAAAGTCTTTAGTTGTTAGTAAAATAAGGGATTTTTGTATTTGTTGAAGGGTTTATACAACTTTTTCCCATTTCTCAGAAAGGTAGCCAAAGTCACTTTCTTTCCTATCTAAAAATAGTTTTATATAAACACATACATTATTAATGAGAATTTCTTTCTGTGCAGGGGCAGGGTCAGGGTTTGGGTCTGAAGGAACAGCAGACTGTTGGCCATCGGCGTTAGCCACAATGGCTGTGTTAGTGTTTCGCATTTTGTTTGTTTACTCTGCCGTCCCATTGCGACTTATGTGGGCGATGACCGGCGTCTGTCGGCACTCCCCCCCTGCCCTTTTTACAGCCACTTTCCGCCCACTTTCCGCCCACTTTTTGCCCGCTTTTCACCCACTTACCGCCCACTGTTGCTGCTTGGACCTCCGTCTTGTGTTTGCTTTTGCCAACGGAATCGAAACGTTCTAAGTGTTCATTAAACAATTTAAAGTTGATTGGCCCTGCCAGGGACACAGGAGTAAATATATATGTACGTAGGTATGCTGCTGCTGTCTCTATGGATTTCGACCCAAATGTAATTTGGCCTCCGATTGTGTTAAGCGGACGAGCGCTTTCCTAATTGTAATGCCTTGTGGCCGAATTAATGCATTATCCTGACCAGATTGATGAGTGTCTGTGTGTGTCTTATCATCCGAAAAACAGGCAACTTTCGATGAAGAAATGTTCTTTTTTGTCAAGGGAAATCGAATAAAAGTTTTGTTGTGTCTAAGAGAATGTTTGCTTGAAGATTTAATTCATGAAAAACAGGGTGGAAAATAAGAGGTCTTTGATTCAATAAAATCAATTATATTTCTAGCAAATAACATTCAATATTGTACT